GTGGACAGGAAGTACATGGCTGGGTGGTTATTAATGTGAGCCTGGTACTGAGTGGTAATGGTGGTGTTGTGGCAGGCCTGGGCTAATGCACCCCCTGGGGTCTTCACAGAAAGGGGGCTCCATATGCTGCCTACCAGCCTTCTCCCCTCAGCCCACAGAGGTGCAGAGTTTGCTGAGAACAGAGTATAAAATGAGCATTTCTGTCTAACTAAGAAGTATTATTCTTCTGTACTTTGGGAACAGAGTTTTTTTTTTTAAGCTCACCCCACTGAAAGTCATTTGCTTCTCTTTTCTTGGCAGGGCTGAAACGGAAAGAGGGTTGTCAAGAAAACATATCATTGAAGGTGGGCACTGCTGTTTCCATTATATTTTCATTTGTAGGTGGCTGATTCAAGAACGCTTTCAACCAAATAGACTCAAAGCACATTGGAAGAGGAAGGGAAAATCTTAGATAAGAAGAATCACAATCAACCAAGTTGCTTCCTAGGGTTGAGTGGGGGCATTTTGTTGAAGTGTAGAGGAGCAGTAGGAACTCAAAAGAGAAAGGCCAAATGCCCCAGAACTCTTCTAACTGATAACTGCTACTAACGGTAACAGTGTGTTACCGTCAGATATTGTTAAGGAAATTTATTGAGATTCGTGTACTAGAAATGCCCGTTTAATATATAATCCCCTGGTTGAGTCTATCTACAGGGTGGTGTAACAATCCCCATAATGTAATTTTTTAAAGATTTTCATCATCCCAAAAGGAAACCCTTTTCATTGTTCTTATTACTATAACAACCAGTCCTCATTCTATGTCCAAGGACACCCTACCAAGAAAGTGATGCTCTGAAGCCGCCAAAAGTTCATGGGCACACTGTCGCACCAGAAGAACCTCAGAGACTAACAGGATCACTTCTCGAGCCTTAGTGTTCCATGTGACACTATAACGTTATAAAGCCAAACCAGCCTGCGTCTCCGCACGGTCACCATTCTGTTCCCAGACATTACCGCCACAGCTGGTGCCCTAGAACAACGAGTCCATCAAGGAGAAGGAGCCCAAGTCTGCCCGTGCTCTCCAGGGAACGGAGGGGCTTCAAACGCTCTTGTTTTGCTTAGTGCTTCCCTCTTTTAAACAATCTAATTGATTCAAGGGAAGGGGTTCAGAAAATTGCTCATGCTGGCAATCATCAAAGAACTATGAAATTATGAACAAGAATGGAAAGGTTCCGCTACCATGCTCTCCACAAAGTACCATTCTTGGTTAATCCATCCCCTGGGGGAATACAGAAAGGGGGAGGAATATCTTAATGGAAATATCGTACTTAAGGTCCTTCTCCTTTTAAATCGGTCAGGAATGGTCCTGGAAACTATCCTGTCAGGATGGATAACCTTGTTTGGCTGGGGGTCAAGCTGACCCAGATTCAAGCTGCCACCCTAAATGTTGAACGTTGGAGACTGAAGGAATCGGTTTATTTGTTTTATGTTGTTCTTGCTGTTACCATCATCCTTATGGTTGTTATTTGGTCCTTCATAAACTAAACCAAAGACCACGGCTCAGGACTGCGAGGTGGTCAGCCCTCTGAGAGGTTTCCAGGCAGGTTGAAATCAGGGAATTACAGAAATCTTACAGAAAAGCAAGAACATAAGATTTCTAGGCCCAAAATAAACGTTGGAGAGATTTAAGAATCAGTATTCTCAGACTTTATTCTGAGATGAACAAAATCGTATTCAACATCAGCGACTCATAAGCACATCACATGTGAGAAGCGCCAGAAGAGGGCAAGACAGACGTCCAATTCATGTAGAATGCAGGAGCTTGACTTATATATTACAAATATATATATATATATATGTATTTAATTCCTATGAAGTGCCTTTTCAATGAAACTAACATCCTTGACTGTAGAGCCTGGGTGGCAAAGTGGTTACCCATGAGACTGCTAACCATAAAATCAGCAGTTCGAAACCACCAGCAGCTACAAGAGAGAAAGGTGGGGCTTTCTACTCCCATAAAGATTTACAGCATGGAGAACTCACAAGGGCAGTTCCACCCTGTCCTATCTGGTCACTAGGAGTTGGCTTCTACTCGATGGCAGTAGGTTTAACACCCTTGATTTAAAGCCAGTTAAATACAGCGTAGTTAGATTGACAGGTTGAGAAAAGAATTGTCACTGATAGGTTTTTTACTTCCATTTAGAACGCCAACGTTCTTTCAGGCTATAAAATTCTACTCCTTCATTCAATGGTTCCACAAATATTCACGAAGCCCCAAGTTGTGCCACTAGTAGGATTTAACGAATCCAATTCTCTCGCACCTAACAGAAAGGGCAAGATGTGTTGGCAAGTCAAGGTGTAAGAATAAGTCGCTTGTGTGCTTTTACAGTCAAAAGGTGTGTCCAAGTCTGTCTGCCTTTCAGGTAAATCACGGCTTTGTTACCTGATTCCGTGCACAAACCCCCTGTCGTTGTTTTAGGAGCAGCAGTAGAAAATGATCCAAGAAAGCGCTGCTTGAGGCTCCTTAATGAATCACAAATGTTAGAACTTGAAAGTTAAGACGTGATTTTTCTGTTAGATGAGAACTATTTTAAAAACTGAACAGTTCCAACCCAGAATTTTGTTCTGGAGGACCGAAGGACCTTGTACACACACACACACACACACACACACACACACACACACACACACGATAGCCAGGCTACATAAAGGGAGGCACAAGCCCCAATGCTGTTCCCATGCAGGATAGGTTTTATAGAAGTAAACAGCTGCGTCTTAAACCACGACTGAGAGGCTCTACTGAGAAGAAACTAGGAAGTTAGCTAGGAAAGCGGTGTCCATTATTAAGGCAGCATTTCATTTTCCGAATGAGATATGAAAGCAAATCTGTGAAGGGGCGAACAGATGACAACGCAGCGTATTTGACTGAAATCTTTGTAAAATCTCCAAACTACTGGTTTCTTTGTTTCTACACAGCAGAACCAGCAGCAGGGACGCCTGGTTCACATCTAGACATGCCAATCAGCCCGAAGGTCTAAAATAACACTGACTGCTCTAGCGAAATAGGCTCACGTTGAATTAATGTTCGCTTTCTAAAGAAGCACTTCCTGGACCACATCAGAACCTGAAGAAAGGGGAAAACAAGCAAACATAGACTCCACCTTCCTGTAGTCACTGGAATGCAGTTTTCATTCATAACAGTTTATTATATTTTGCATCATACTGCGGAGTTTCTAGTAAACGTCTAATGATCTGCTCAAGGGCAGGGAGCATGTCTCTGTTTGTCTCCCAGACGCCCTCAGCAAGAGTGTGGGGCGGTGCCGAAGCACTTACCTTGCTAACGTTTGGATAGCTATCCGCTGCCCCCCTACAAGCAAGCTTAATGCTTTGCTGCATGTCTATTAAACTTAAACCAATACCTGGACCCAAGCCAGTGCTCAATCAGTGTGACCTAAGCGAAGAGAGAACAGAGCTGCTCATTGGAGACAAAACCTAAATGGCTCTCCAAGAAGCATTTGTTGAGCCTGCCTTCGTAATGCTGTGACTTAGCTGTTTCTAAAGAATGAAAGAATCTTCCTTCTTTAATGCCTGGTTAAAGGATTCTAAAAGGAATTTCGTTTTCGGTTTCATGAGGCCTTACAGCAGCAAGCTATCTGGTTTATCGAGCCCATTTCTTCTTTGGATGGATGAAGACACTTTGGTCCAGAGTGATTAAGAGACATCGCCCTGGTTATGCAGGCCTGTCTGAAGTAGTGCCCTGGATCACAAACCCCGTGCCTGGCCTACATAGAGACCTAAACTGCGAACGCCACACCGGTCCCTCTAGTGTCCAGAGCTGGAGGAAGCCGGTTGATGAGCTGTTCAAACT